CCAAACCGATTTAGCGATCTTCTTGAAATGTGGCACTGATATTGCTGGTATATTAAAAACGGACTTGGACTACTTTTTGTCAGCACTTGAGGATCTGAAGTACCTGATGGAGGGCACCAGGATAGGAGCACAGCTTAACTATAAAAGATACGAAAATGGCTTCATAGCAAAAGTTGTTCAGCATGACGAGGCGCTTCTGCTGACACATGATTATCGAGGATCTTGAGTACCTGATGCATACCACCAGAATCTCATCTAAACTATAGAAGATACGATAATGGCTTCAAAGTAAAAGTTGTTTATCATGACGGTCCGCTTCTGCTGGAACATGGTCATCAAGGATCTGGAGTACCTGATGCAGACCACCAGCATCCCATCTAAACTAAAAGAGCTACGGTAACGGCTTCAAAGTAAAAACGGCTGCTTTTGCTGGTAGATGGTCCTGCTGAGTCACTTCTGCTGGAACGGAGTAAAGGAGTAATCGACTTTTTAGTGCGGGAAAGACCCAATTTCTACGGGAAAACATGTAAATAGCAGCGGGTGAAAAAGCTGGGCGGGCCGCTAGTTTATTATAATTCTTCATATTCATCATGAGTATAAGTAATTATTCATAGTTGATAAAATATTTAGGTAAGGACAAAAGTAAAGTAAAGTTTCATAAAACTGTACGTATTCTTCTTTTCTTATAACAGGGGTACTACCTTGACACAGTGATATAAGTTCATCATAATTTATCTATAGATAATTTTGGGTGGCTGCAGATACAATCTTATGCCCTGTTATCTTTTGCTACGACTCCTGTAGACTGTATTTTTTTAAGCGATGTTTGGATCGTCTTAAATCACTGATAAAAATGTATTCATAAATGTGTTTTTACAAACTTGTAATGGTCCCCCCTCACTCGGGATTCGGTAAGAAATACTGTAAAGTATTTTCACGATGAAACTCAAAGGCAGTAGTGCCACTCTGTTTCTTGAGACGTTTTACGTATCTTGCTACTAATTCGCGTTGTTTTTCTAACTCGCAGTATGACCAAAAGTCTGTAAACATGTCAAATCTGGCGTCTTCGTTATTTTGAGGCTTTTTTTATTTATTTCATTCAAAAGTTACTTTCGGACGTGGGCCATGACACGTGGAGGAACAAGTTTTTATGTGTTCTTGCTTAAGTATAATGCTCCTGAATTGCGTAATTCCTTTGATATTTTCTGCTGATTTGTTTTCTTTTGTATTGTATTTGTATCATATTAGTGCTATCTCTCGAAAATTCCGCCTATTTCTTCCGAGATAATAGTGTAAGAGTAAGATTGTAGTTGTCTATTTTCTCTTAGGTACAGACGTAACTTAACATACCTCTAAAAATAAAATAAAAATTTTGCGACGTAAAGGGGTAAGTTAACTTACGTCCCTACGTTATAAAGTAACATGTTGTGAAATAAGTTACGACTTACCTTATTTTGGAAACTAAGGTACTTAGAGATACATCCATAAGCGTGAAAAAAACTACGAAAAATACTGAATCTTTTAGTGTATATAACTCATTTACGTAAAAAATCAAGTTACGTCCTTACGTTTTGAAGGGGACGATAAATTACCAATGTTTTTCGTATATTTTTTCTAGGGCTGGTCTTTTGAGTTTGGATGGAAAAACTAAATGTTTCGACAAAGATGCTGATGGCTATGTTAGATCGGAAGCTATATCTTATTTATTCTTACAAAAAGCTAAAGATGCAAAAAGGTACGAAAACATTTGTTACTAATGAACCATTTAATCACGGGGCATGTTGAAATAAAATAAATATAGGTATCACTTCGACTCTCCTGATGACGTAGTGGTTAGTACCCTGCCTTCTACGCCGAGGGTCGTGGGTTCGATTCCCACCAGACACAAATGTTTGTAAAGTCAATTTTCAAATATTTGTGTTTAGTCTGGGTGTTTTTTATGTATAATATGTATTTATTTACAAAAAAGTATATAAGTATTATATCAGTTGTCTAGTTCCCATAGTACAAGCTTTGCTTATTTTGAGGCTAGATGGCGCTGTGTGTTGCGTCCAGGGATATTTATATTTATTTGTTATTTACTTACAAGGAGTATAGTAAATATTTCAATAAGCAATAATTATCAAAACTATTTCAGGATCTACGCTGAAGTCTGCGGTGTTAAAACCACTTATGGGCTTAAGGGAGATGAGAAGTTACTTCCAATAAGGAAACAAGAAAATATCAAGGAGTTTCTTGAAACCTTCTATTCTGAAACTGGTGTTTCTCCAAAAGACGTGGAATATGTTGAAGCAAATGGCGCAGGTAGTATACAGGGAGTAACAAAAATAGTATAATAAGCCGAAAGGAGGTCAAGGTACTCATGAAACTAAACAAATTTTTCCCATGTAACATATTTCAAAGCACGGAAAAAGAAAATTGGATCTCTGATAGTAAATCAATCAGCAGATCGGCGAATTTGTATGGGAGGTCCATTTTTTTCATACTTCGACCCACATCCATCGAGAAAGTTGTTCAATTTCATGAGTAGATACTTCAACCTCCTTTCGGCTTGTTATACTTTTTTCGTTCTTTCGGGTGTATTAAAAAAAAGAGATGGTGACTAGAAAAATTTCACTCGAAGATTGCGTTTAGTGTGATCATCATTTACGTAGTACATATATCGTAACGTATCATATGGGCAGTTGAACAACTCTACAATTTTAGCGTGAATCAATAGGTGCTCTATTATAGGTATTATAAATTGCAGTAACATACATATTTGTGACAAGTAAAACAAATGAAAAACCCACGACGGGTTCACAAATTAAGGAAACGGCGCGCGGGGCTTATATTACTGCATACCGTCTCCGTTGAGTCGTAGGTAAACACTAAAAAATGATTAATACATTAAAATTTGCAGCTCTACCTGAAGGAGATATCAGTGAACTGCAGGCAATAGGCGATGTTTTTGCCGGCGAACGTTCGGTGAAGGTGGGATGTGTAAAGTCCAATATGGGAAGTAGTGAATCAGCTTCAGGCTTATGTGGTATAACTAAGGTATGTTCAATAATGTATTTTAAGACTTGTGTTTTTTAATATAAGCACAATTCCTCCAAAGCAGTCTACCATCTATAGTCAATTCCGAGTAGCGGTGGAAGGAAGGTTATAAGCTTTCATAGCTAATGTTTGTTTTGGTTTTGTGACCTGTTTAGTTTTGAACATTGATACTAATCCTAATGCCATAATTCATAAAGGTTTCATATGATTTATGTGGCAAACTCCATTGAGAAGTGTGCTCCGTTAAATACATTATTGGCTATAATATGTAGAAAGTAATTTTTGGAAAACTTCCAAAATTTTCACCGCAGGCAGGATTTGAACCTGCGACCTTCGGCATCAGTACTGCCGACGCCCTAACCAACTTTCTGACTTTCAACTGACTTTCGCGGGCTTGATTAGAACCGCGGTAGCCCAGTTGGTTAGGGCGTCGGCAGTACTGATGCCGAAGGTCGCAGGTTCAAATCCTGCCTGCGGTGAAAATTTTGGAAGTTTTCCAAAAATTGTTTACCTATAACACGAGAAGTGTTTTAAAATTTGGTATTCAATGTAGAAAGTACTTTAAAACTTGTAATTACGATTTATTTATTACAGATTTGCTTGGCTTATCATAAAGGTCAATTAGCTGGAAATTTACACTACAATACGCCTCTCGATATATTTTCAGTACAAGAAGGAAAAGTTGAAATTGTGAGTGAAAATACTCCATTTGAAAGAGGATTAGCGGCTATCAACAATTTCACATTCACTGGATTGAACTGTCATGCTTTATTGAAAGGACATTTTATACCTAAGGTAAATTTCGTTGACATTGTTTAACAACAATCAATACATAAAATAAAATTAAGTCACTTTTTGCGTTTCTCTGTCTATATGTCGTGGAATTCGCTAACTCCTCCTAAATCACACAATGGATTACGATGCGGTTTTTGGAATAGATAGATTGATTCAAGAGAAGGTTTATATGTGGGGAAATGCCTTTCTTCCTCTGGAAAATGAGTTGCAGCGTGTGAAACCGCTAACAGGCCGCTAGTAAACGATAAAGAATAAACAGTTTCATTTTAGTCAATATAAAAAAGAAACTATAGTCAAAAAGACCATTCGCTGCCTTCGCGACCATAGTGAAAAAGGGGCACCATACGAAAACTTATGCTAAAAATTATACCTATAAAAGAAATGTGACAAAATTTCAGAATCTCACCCGTTACGAATGTAAAATACCACGATTGGTTTGCGTATCTGGGCGTCAAGATACGGGAGTTCAAAGATTGTTCGAAATATTAAAAAATCAGCCATTCGACCCAGAACTAATTGGCTTGCTGCACAATATTTATCACAGGGATATACCTGGCCACACTTGCAGAGGTTATACTATTATTGGTAAGTAAAAATTAATTCACGCATTAAAATTTTACTTCCCACGCGAGTTGAATTTGGAGAAATTCTTTATTAAATACTTATTATAAAATAAAGTCACATTTTGTGTTTCTCTGTCATGGACACGGCTAACACCTCCTAAACTGCACAACTGATTTTAATTCCGTTTTTAGAGTTTCCTAGCCTACTAACCCTGATCATTTCGTCAAGTCTGTCTGTAGTCTGTCTGTCTGTATGCCGCACTCTAATATCTTCGTCAGTTTTAGACCAAATGACATGAAATTAATAGATATAGTGTTAATATTATAAATGAAAATTTCATTTCAGACAAGGATGACAACAAGAAAACTGTTTCACTGTCTCAATCCGTTGAACTGTATCGAGGCGCTAGACGGCCGCTGTGGCTGGTATTTAGTGGAATGGGATCTCAATGGGCTGGCATGGGTACCGAACTCTTGCGCATACCCATCTTTGCAGCTTCTATAGAAAGGTAATGAACAAAATGAATAGAATTTGCTTCGTCCTAAGATGCATAAAATAAAAATATTATTCATAAACGAAAATAAGAAATTGAAGAAATGTCACGCATCGACCGAGGCTAAAACCCGCATGGGTCAACAGCCCACTGCTCTGCCACTGAGCTATCAATGCGCTGATTAATGCTCTCCAAATTTCAATCTTTTGATGCTCGTCTACTATAACAGCCACAATAAAGTCCACTGCTGAACATGCCATACTTACCACGCTTGGCAGGCGGGCTACACAATGCGATTGCGAAATTCATCCTGGGATTGAACCCCTGGATGAATTTATTTATCCCTTAGTCGCCTCTTCTTACGACGCACCCACGGGAAAGATCACACGGCGTCGGCATCACACGGCTTGATGCTCGTCTACAAGCGATGATCTATTATTTTCGTTTATGAGAATAATATAGCACTATGAATGCATTAAAATTCCAACAAATTGCTATTTTTTCTTTTTTTTAGGTGTAAGAAAGTCCTGGAGCCAAAAGGCATAGATATTGTTCGTATTATTACTGAACCAGATACGGAAATGGTTAATGAAATATTGAACTCCTATCTTGGTATTGCGGCTATACAAATTGGCTTGACAGATATAATTAAAGCTGTGGGCTTAGTTCCAGATGGATTTATTGGTAATTATTTAAAGGAATTCATATTGTAACTTCATGTTTCCATAAAAATGTGCCGAGTGGTAGCGGCTTAGAATTCTACCACACCTATTCTAATCAGAGTGTTTCGTAAAAGGCGACGTAGAGTTTTTGACCTTGGCTACAATATCTGCCGACCATAGTCAACTATAATGGTGGTCGTATTACCACCTACGATAGCATTCCCAAAGAGGGTTGACGACAGGCAGGCAGCCTAAAATTGGGCCAAATCCTTTCGGTCCTGTATTTAAACAAAAAACATGTTCACCGACCTCAAGTAACTGGGATAAGTGCAGGAAGATGATGATGACGTTTCCGTAAAAAAAAAATATAATGCCTTTAATTTTCACTATTTAGGTCACAGTGTTGGAGAAATGGGCTGCGCTTACTTTGACGGTGCCTTTACTGCTGAAGAATTCATTTTAGCCGCTTACACTAGAGGACAAGTGTCGGTTGAAACCAATTTCATCGAAGGATCAATGGCAGCTATTGGGCTAGGATATAAGGATGTGCGTTGTGTTGTATAATTTGTATTTCTTCATAAACTTAATAATACTGACGTGAATTTGAAAGTCAGTATTCAGTTATAACGCTTTTGCTACATTGAATCTGCAAAGAAGGAATTGGTCGCTGGGAATTCGTTGCAAGACTATCCCGGTAGATGTTCCATCTAGTGGAATGCGTTAGTGGCCAAGATATAATTGCTTAATTTGCAGGCTAGGATAGAACTAGCCCAGATGGTAGTGGCGTTGGCAGTACTGATGCCAAAGGTGGCAGGTTCAAATCCTGCCTGCGGTGGAAAATTTTACAAAAAAGTACTTCATAAATTTATGATAATTTCAGGTTTTCCCAATTATCCCACCGACAATAGACATTGCTTGCCGTAACAGTTTTGAATCATGCACTATATCGGGACCAGCCGGTTGTGTGAAAGAATTTGTTAACGATCTGAAGAACAAAGGCATTTTCGCAAAAGAAGTTCCTACTGGCAATATTGCCTATCATTCAAGATATGTAAAAGATGGCGGTAGGTGCTTTTTATCAGTTCAATTTTAATTTAAGTACTAAGTGTATGAACAACTTTTTTTTCGTGCACAGGTCCTGAACTCGTAAAACGCTTGGCAGAATTTATGGGAAAAGTACCACGAAGCGACAAATGGATATGTTCATCATTACCACCAGAAAAATGGAACGAGCCTCTTGCAAAACAGTCATCGCCTGAATATCATCTGAACAATTTATTGGTAAATTACCACTTGAGTATGAAATCCCAATTTTACTTAGAGGATTTTCCAATCAAAGCACAGCACATTTTTCTTTCGGCCAAAGCATCTATATTGTAAAAATTCAATTGAAATCGAATTCCGGTGAAAGATAAGTATTCTTCCTCTGAATAATCTTTCGAATCATTTTCCAAATTTGCAGAGCCCAGTTTACTTTGAAGAGGCAGCAACGTTGATCCCTCGTGATGCAGTTGTTCTGGAAGTAGCACCTCATGGTTTATTACAAGCCATATTAAAAAGATCTCATCCTAGCTGTTCCCACATTTCTCTGACAAAAAAAGGGCATTCCGACCCAGTACGTTTTCTATTAGAAAGTTTGGGAAAGTAAGTAAACATGGGGCCGAAGTCTGCTAAACAAAAATAGTTTCAGTTGCATGTCGATGGCATGTCAGGTGGATGGTTTTGATAGTTTCGTATTCTGCTAACAGCTATAAGTATGGAAAATAACAGTGGCAATGGAATGTCAGTTGAGTGTCGCTGGCATTACAATGGCAAAAAATTTGTAGACTTCGGGCCCTGACAAGATTCTCTTGTAAAATAAATGTATGACAATGTAATTATTATTTATTACACTGTTTATCTTTCAGACTGTATTCGGAAGGATTTAACCCACAAATCGACGTGCTGTACCCCAAAATTGAGTATCCTGTATCTACAGAAACTCCGGTGCTTTCACATTTTATCGACTGGTATCATCAGGAGACATGGTTGGTTAAAATTTTAAATATCTTCTTCTTTTTCGTGTGGGACACCGAGTCGTTCAACGACCCGATGAACCCTGGTGTCAGAGTTTTCAACCGCCTACTGCAAGTAGCAGGCCTCTGACATGGTTGTGTAACGACCGCCATCATAGACAGCAACCGGGACCGACGGCTTAACGTGCCCATCCCAAGCACGGAACAATCAGGTGGTTCAGCCTGCAATGTCCTAACCCGACTGGGAACAAATTCACAAAGTAATAAATATCAACTTTGTGAGTGACCCCACCCGGAATTGAACCCGGAGCCTTTGCGTGGCAGGCAGGCATACTAACCACTGTGCCACATCGGCTGTCAATAAATAAATATCTAATTTATAACAAGTCTACTGCTATCTAAAAAAAACCGGCCAAGAGCGTGTCAGACACGCCCACAAATAGGGTTTCGTAGTCAACGTTTAAATATCAGGTTTTTCAGCATTACAAACTTAATTTTGTTGCTGGTTTGTTAGCAGCAGTATGATGACCAACCGCAAATAGAAAAACTCAATTTTTTCTGAAACCTTTAAGGGTATAATATCCGTTATAGTTTTCATTGTAACTTCAGATTGTAAGCTATATTTCATATTTATTTCAAATTTTTAGCGTTTATACTTTAGAAGTTACAGCTGGAACAAATTATGGGTCAAAAACGCACTTTTTAAAAGCAAATATCTCGTGACAGAAACATTTTAGTGACTTTGTTTCAAAGAAACCTCACCTTAGTTTTAAAAGACCTATTCAACGATACCCTACTCAATATTACAGAAGAAAAAAAATTTTGTTGCCCCCCTTTCACTTGTATGGGAGGGGGTCCAAAAAACATTTTAAATATTTTTTTCTTAACATTTCTATATTTGGGTCAACACGATCTATCTTCTCACCAAATTTTATGTCGATAGCTCTAAAACTGACGAAGATATGAGGGCGCGGCATACAGACAGACAGACAGACAGACAGACAGACAGACAGACAGACATGACGAAACTATATGCTCTTATTGCTTATTATGCATATGCTCACTCGTGGCTCCAATATGGAATAGTACTGTGGGGAAATAGCACGAACGCTATCGACCTATTTATATTGCAGAAAAAATGCGTTCGGATATTAGTTAACGTAGACAACATGACGAGCTGTAAGCAGTATTTTATCAGACACCAAATTCTTTCTCTACCATCTTTGTATATTCTAGAAGCCTGTATTTTGGTACGAAAGCACCCAAGTCTATTCCCACAGTACTCTCGCCCAAGAAATCTGAGACCCCAAACTGGTCTAGCATTGCCATCTTCTTCGATGAAAATGATTACATGCGGTCCCTTAGCTATGGTAGCCAAGACATACAACAACCTGCCAAAAGAAATGAAGTTAGAACAAAATATACATAAGTTTAAGTTACTACTAAAAAAATATCTAGTCACTAAGTGTTATTATTCATTACAAGAATATTTGAACGAAAAAAACAATAAATTGTAAATTAGAATTATTTTGTATTTTAATTAATTAATGTATATTATTTATTTCTAAAAATTGTTAATTAATGTATTTTCCAGAATATTGAATGTTATTAATGTAAATTCTATTTATTATTTTACCAACTGTTATATTGTTATGCCCTATCCGGGTCCATGTTTGAAACTCATTCCCTATTAACATTTAAGACCTACTGAATGTAACATGGTGTGCAATAAATAAATACTTGAAATACTTGAAATACTTGAAATAAGGGTTTCTAGTAGACTACGAAACCCTAAAAATGGAAAAAATTATATCAACTGTAAAGTTATATTTATCATCTCAGAGTTATTATTTCAGGCCCACAACAAGGTTTAACGATGGGGTTAATGTAATGATTCCGAAGCGCACTTTTTCAATGTTTATAGAAGACGACGATTATAAGTTTATATCTGGGCATGTCGTAAATGGTAACATGTTTGAACTTATTAGAATTAACTACTTATTCAAAAATAGAAAAGAAATTAAAATTACAACTAACTTTTGTATTTTTTTAAGGTGACGTATTATTCCCTGAGGCAGGCATACTCTTTCTCATATGGGAGACATTTGCGATGTACAAAGGTGTGCATTACGAAGATTTGCCTGTTTCTTTCCGTGATGTAAATTTTTATAGTGACATGAATATTACCATCGATTTGAAAAAGGTCATAAAATTGGATATTCTAATTTCTAAAGGACAACAATACTTTGAGGTAGGTATTGTGTAAGATTTTATTACAAATTTTCTACAATGATTGATCCAAGGGAATACTAAGTAACCAAATTTCAATTCACGTAGGTTACACGGGACGATAATGTTGTTGCAAGTGGTTTCATAGAAGAATTAACCAATTGTGATCCCATCAAAATTGATGAAGACAGTTCAAGATATAGCGAGGGCATAAAGTTGGATACTGAAGACATATACAATATCTTCAGAGCCAAAGGATATAATTACAAG